TGACAACACAACAAAACAAAAAAGTGCTGTTTGGTTTAAGGGGTGAACACCATAGCAAATAAATGAGTAGAACTACACAGTAGGATCATGTGAGCTGAGGCATAGACATAGATTTACTTTTATGGCTGTAGATTCTCAACTTAGGAAGCTTGTTGCCAATATGCAGTAGTCTAGATGATCTGCTTAAGTTTCTCTACTTCTTGAGAAAGTTACTGCTGATTGTTTCTTGGAAATAGTCATTAAATTAGTTCTTACAATTCCTTTAGTATTTTCCATGTGATCTACTATAGATAATGGAATGTCTTTACAGCCACTCAGGAAAAACTGCTTCTCTCTCACAAAGCCATAAAACCAGGCAACATAACAACACAAAACCAAAGGAGAATCCTGAACAAGATTAGTGCTCTTATAGTTCCCTTTTTTCTGTGAAAATATGTTGTAAGAGACTCATGTATGACCTACTAATACTTTGCCTGAGATGTCTGAATAAACTGTACAAGGATTTTGGAGAAGAGGAATATGTAATATGGTGATAACTGTAATCTAAGTAGCTCTGCAGCATATATCCGTTAATTTATTCATCGAAATAGGCTTCCATTTGATGTTGGCCTACCAGTATTGGATAAGTTTCAAGGGTGTACTGTGATAACAATTAAGGTCCTGTTGTGAAATTTTTGACTAATACGAGCTAGATAGATTTGTTTTGTGTGTTTGTCTTCCCAGCGCATAGAGTGTAATGGAAAAGTGATTGTATTTGTATCCCTTTATTTGTATTTGTATCCCTTAACAGAAAACTCATTTATTTTTCCAACCCATCCAGACCGTCTCATTTTCTTGATTCCAGAATTGTCAAAGATGTTATTAAGAAATATGTATTTCTTGGTTGAGTTTTGCTACACATAGTATCTATTATTTCTCCTTTCCTTACTCATCTTACCCCCTTACCTTCTTTATCTAGTGTGACTGTGTATTTTGAATGTAACAGCACATCTTTGAACCATAGGGACCTATGGAATAAAAGACAGTGTTAGTATTGAGCAGCAGTTAGGCATAGCATTGAGCTCCAGTTAGACATAATATTTCTCATTTTTCTTTTGCAGAACTTTTCCAGTAGTTAATGTTTGATATTGCAAAATAGTTTAATCCATTTTGTGTTCTCGAATTACTTTGCATATTGTTTCTTAGTTTGTTCTCTCTACAAACTAAAGTGGGTCCTAAGTGGCTACACCTATATCTCATCACAATTTGATTGAATTTTTTAAAAAAAATTGGTTTAAATAGAAATACTAGGGTATTTTCTTAAT